CTTTAGTTAATGCTACTTTTAGGTTTTCAAAGAGTATGATGAACAAGAAATTTCTATAACTACGCGATACTCCTAAAGATGTATGGCGCCCAAGATAAGTCTTAGATGGCCACAATAATATTCACCATACAGACTGGCTTTACAACCTAATGAATATAGAATGAAAATAATGGTGGATGCTGTTATCAACTGATGGATCGTGTAGAAAAGACGCTGTATAGTTGGTTTTGATCGAGAACTCATGCTTGGAAAAATAGTTTCATTCCTAGATTTAGATGGATCTGAAAAACAATCTGAACAAGGATGATCCGCAACTTTTGATTAATGCAATACCATTTTGTTTGAATCTCCCTTTCGTTAGTATATAAGTTATCTTTACAAAGAGATTATACAAGAAAAGCTCTATATTTCAATAGTTATTAAGTTCAAGAACAAGAATGTTTTTAGATATTTTTCGTCCATCTTTTTTACTTCAGAATTATGCTAGAACAAAAACGACAAATATAAATACTGATAAATTTAGTTAACCAACAGCATGATTCAATAATTTGGATGAGTGGTTTTCCTAATTATATAAAACCCATTTCTTTTGTTCAAAGTCACAAGTGTTTGTATTGAAAGAACATCAACGAATTTGTTATATAAAATATAAAATATATATAATATAAAGTATATGATAAAGTATAAAATATATCTCTGTGCGTTTCCTAATTCTAATTCAGTATGGAGGTATAAACTAAAAGCACCTCGTGGAGAAAGAGAGGAAAAAGCAATAACCGCAACGACAAAAATGTCAACTGTCAAAAATGTCGATTTTTAAAAATTGTCCCGGTTTTTTATCCTGTGGTCACGCGGGAGACCGGGGTTCGACTCCCCGTCAGAGAGTTTACACTTTTCGGTCATTGAAGTGAGGTGCCGAGTGGCACCTCATTGGAACCTCACTCACTCAGTTTTTCTTTTTGTTTTTGTTTTTGTTTTAGTTTTTGTTTTAGGTTCTAAGTGGCGCAGAACTACAGTAATACAGTAATGCGTAGTAGCGTTACTTGTATTCCTAAGAGCTGATTGGCTTCTAAAGTATTCATTGTTAGGAACTTTCGGACAATCCAGATGATGAAAACTACAGTCATGCGAAGCAGCCACACACAAACACACTCAAAAAAAGTAATCGTTTTTTCATCAACGTATATCCAATCATATCATTTATTCAGTATATCAATTATTTTTCTCCGTCCTTTTTGTAAGCCATTCATTCTTATCTTACTCTGTATGTCGTTCATCCTCTTCATTCATACCTTTCAGCTGGTTTAATTAACAACTTGCTAATAACTTATCTAGTATTGTAACCAAGATTCTAGATCCTTCCTTTTAGAAAGATTCAATTTACTTCTTTCTTCAGCCGACAGCCGGCCATTATCAAATCTCTATTGCCCGTTTCACCAGGTTTAAAAAGACTAAAACATTGTAGAAAACTTGAGTTCATTTAGTTTAGTTTTTTGAAAGCTGATATTATATCAATATACAGATTGGTTCTTGTGAGATTCTCTTTCAATTAGCAATTATTTTTCCAATCGTATTCTTTATCGATGATTATTCTGATTTTGAGTCGTGCTGTGCAATAGAGTCCTACAGGGATTGGTATTCATTGAAGTTGCCGGCAGCTGTCAGATACGTTGATAGTTCACAAACTATGATAACCTACATCAAAACAACAAAATATTGTTTCATTGCCATAGCAACCTTACTATAGCCTTACTGTTCTCTACGATTCCTGAGCTCAGCACTAGATTCACATCATTTCTATATTTTCTATAATTTCTAGTCATAACGAGAATTTTTTCGGGGAAAAGCTTTGAATTTCACTGCTTTTTACTGGCGGGTTTTTCAAAGTAATAAAAATGTTTCTTCTCTGTCTTAGGAAATATTTACGATAAGTTGTTAGATATTATTTTTGTTGTTAATTTTTGTAAAAACCATTATGTTTTTTGTGCCTCTCTCTTGATTCGAGGATTTTCTTTTTGTTCTTCGCCGTGCCCGACTAGTGACTTAAATCAGTCCAGAGGTTGTTTCAGAGTTTTGATAATATTAATATTTTGGTCAAGACTATATAACAAGCGGTATCATTGGTCGTTACACGGTCACGTGTCTGTCATTTATTCTGCGTTGGACAACATCAACTGAGTAACCAGGCGACTATGACCTAGGGCACGCAATGCCTTGTTAGACAAACTCGTATTTTTTTCTATGGTTTCTCGTCATTTTAGTTGCTACTTTTTTAAGGCTTAAAATCTTTGACATTAAATCAACTTCAGGAGGAAGAGCGAATTTAGATATAGGTTAATTGTTAGTGAAGAGGACTTGTTCATTTTCTTTTGGCTAGATGAAATAAGACAATCATGACTGTCAAATTTTTGAATCGGTCCAATCACGCGCTTTCCAATCACACGCGTGAGATCGTACGATTTCGATCGCGACAATCTTGATTTTGATGGACGTCAATCAAGGCGTTTTCGCAACATTTCATAGGCACGTTCTCTTAAGTGTAATGCTCTGTAATGTCATGGTAACACTTTGTTTGATGTCCACCAAAACCTTACTTTGTCAAGACAGAAAAATTGTACGATTTTGCGCGTGTGATTGGGAAGCGCTGGTGTATAAAGTGTTAAAATTTAAAAGACTTTCTGGGGGAAAAAATCATTACATTTTTTTATAAAAATTCATTCAAAACATCGGGGTTTTTTTAACGTAAGCTATAGAATTTATATTTTCTATTGGTCAAGACATGATGTAGAAATATGGTCGCAGGTGTAAGTTTTTATCATATTTTTWAACTTGGATGACGTTCTAGTCTAGTTTAGGGAACCATAACAAATATTGTATATTGTATTGTATATATCAGTTGATATTATGTTTGGCGGAAAAGAAACGTGTTTTCTGGTAAAATACATGTGTCTCATTCACCACTACATTGTCATATTCATTAATTGTAAAAAAAATAATGGTTAATGGTAGCGTTTTATACAGGACGTTTTCAAGACGTAGTAGAACTAAGTTTATCAACATGTCGCCCTAAATTTCAGTCTCATCTTTTTTAGGCTTAATTTGGAGTAATAAGCACTGATATAGTCTGTTTTTCCAAGGTTTTCTCGTGCCTTTAATCAATCCGTCCACAAGTAATTACATTACTGTGGGTCTAATGTTTATAAATACTTAGGAAAATGAACGCTTCTCAGAATCTTACTATTGGCGAAAGTAAGCCAGAGTGAATCCAAAATAAACTGTTTCTTCCTGCTATACCACAGCCTGTTCACATGGAGCCACACTACTATTGAAATAACTATAAGATAGTAGTACAATTAACCGTCATATATAAGACTTTTTCAAGAGCTTTGAATGCTGATAACTCTGTGGGATGCATTCACCATCACACCACGACACCTGCAGAAACAAGAACTTTCTCTTAATAATTGAAACTTTGCTTAATATGGTAATAAACCAACTAAACAACTACTTGACTGTGATTGGATGAAAAGCTTTCGTCTTCGAGGCTCGTTTGACCACAAGAGCAATCGAGGTACGGTCCAGTGAAAAATATCTTTAGGGCAGCATCTTCTAACACGTAGAATTTTTGCAGCAAAGCTCAAGTTACATTTCAGCTGATAGTCTTCCTAACGTAGGAGTTTCTTGTTCTTAAGTTGTGGTCGTGAGAAATCCAAGAAATTTTCACGCTGTACGAGCTATTACCGAGCCTCAACTTAAGAGGTGTTAGAATCCCTTATTTAGTCCTGATTTCCAAAAATACCTGCGTTTGGTGGAAGATAGGAGGATTAAGAACAGGTTTGGATTACGCTTAACGTTTCCAGTAAACAAACCACACGATTCAATTCATACAACCAAATCATGTCGAGGTGGAAGCAGCTATCGTCCCTTGTTAAAAGCAAGGAGTTCTTTGATCGGGTAAGTGCTTAGATTAGGTCTATAGACATTAACGTATTCACAGATCTAGAGGTGTAAGTTTTGGGTCAATATATAGCACGTGTCACCTGAAACAAGTAAAGAAGTCGGGAAATGCCTTAGGGATGGAAAACATTAATTCAACRAGAAAGTGTGAATAGGATTTCCTATTTTCTATTTCTTGAGTTTGATATAAAATGTCTGGTTAAGGTTTACATGAAAAAATAGCGCATGCATTATTATACCACACTTGTCAATTGATATAAATAAAGAATAGGAAGGAAAATAGGAAGAAGCAAAATAAATCAAATCATGGATTAAGAAGTATTACAARATAAAAAATTAGGAAAATTTTGTTTGTTCCACGTATATTTACGTATACTTATTCGTGAATACACATGGAAAAAWAACATAATTTTCTAATGACTATTCCCGTGTACGACAACTGATTTTGATTATAAAATTATAAAATTATAAATWAAAAAAGTTATTTTCTTAAAATTCTTTTGTTTAATTCACTCACTGCTTGGCCTGCAATTTTAGCTATTGTAATAAGTGGGAACTATTGTTTTTAGATTATTCCTACCTTACAGACGAGCGTTGGGTTATATATTTATTGACCATTTATCGATATGTTTGTCACCTGATAAATTTTGTATAGTATTCATATGTGCTAGCAATTCTCTACTTATCTTGGTGTAACAATAAGCATTCCTCTTGCTCTTTGTAATTAATTTAATAATAATGATAATAATAATAATAATAATAATAATAATGTCACATTTTTATAGCGCATTTACCACTGCTCAATGCGCTTGCAAAGCTAGACAAAAATAGAAGTTCAAGTCAAACAGTTACACAGAATCTGATTTTAACATTGCCAACTTGCTACTTCATTTTCCTAAGAGAACATTTTTCGTATGACTTTGAAAAGCGCACGCACGAAAACGGTCATGCTCTTTTCCACAGTACTATCTAGAATTGATCAAAAGGAAGATTGTGCGATTCTGTCAATCAAGTGCAATTCAGTACTCGTTCTAGATTCCTTGCACGTTACGTTACAAAGTCTGCGTGTTCAGTAGAGCTTATTAGAGCTTGTTAGGATTTATAAGGTATTATTGGAGCTTACTGGGGATAACGAGAGTTTTAGAAGGACAACTATATATCTAACAAACATTTACACGATGACATTACGAGTTCTTCCAGAATATCATACATTTATCTGGCGATCTGTCTGTCTGTCTTTCACGTTTGGTGTGTTTGCGCATGCCCATATACATTTTTATTCCAATTCTTTTCCCTTCTGTTGTCTTACCCTTTCAATATGATTTTAAAAATGCTTGTCTCAATGATAACAAAAAATAAGATCTTAATTTTGATTTTACTCCATGTTTGCACTTACGTCGCCGGCGCGTCTTGATATTTAAAACACATCCCACATGGAAAAGAGTGACTATGGGTAATTAGCTATCAGGGACAAGAGCGAAACATCGGGTATTCTAGTCATAGCAAGGGGTTAATCATCTACGGTCTAGGGGCCGACTAAYCTCTCCCTTAGGCTTCGGCCGAGCTTCCTGATCAGTCTGTAAATCCAGTGATAGCGGTGTCGGGGCCGAAATCTCCGGCGTARCCGTAAATGCTTCGCGCTGCCATACGACGGTTCAGCATTCGATGTCTGGAAGTATGGTCCTGGTTATAATCAATGAATAAAAAGATAAACAATCACAAAAACAGATTAAAATAACTTTTGACTAGATCCCATTAACTTGGAAAGGACCAGAGGAGAGGAAATAAGTGCGCATGCGCTCAGTGTTTCTCTTTTTTGTCTCTCTAAAAATGATCTGACCGCTGGTCATGTTTTCCACGTCACACAGTTGCTACAAGTGATACAGCTATTCCAAAAAAAAAGTGGGGAAGGTTTTGTTGCATGGCTTGGATATTGCATTCCAAGTCCGAAATGCACTGTGGGCATTGTGAGTGCAATCAGCGAAAGATCACAAAAATATTCCTAAACTTTTTCTGCACGTTTTTTCCCGGCATAATGTTTTTGTGTTGAACTTTTTCACATATGAATATAATGGATTTCAAGCACCATTCACTATGCACACTCACCAACCCTTTTTTGGAATATTTGTAACCAAAATGATCTGGTTTGCGCATTACTTTTATTTCGTCCAGTCTTGTTCCATGTATTCTCCTTYAACAATCACTTTGGGTTTGGACCATTAAGTGATGGAAAACAAGACACGAGGCACAATAAATACTAATAGATTATTTTCCCCCTGGGAAACTGAAATCGTTCTCACTGATGTAGATCAGATTAGACCAGGTTCAATCATTACTGCTTCCTGTCTTGGCTGCCAAAGCCTCTATTGTATAATCTTATCGTTTTAAGTGGAAAGCATCTTGTTGTGACCAGAGATAATTCAAAATATCGTAAAATGTTTGGCTTCAAAAGTAATATTGCGTGCCTAGCGGTCTAATTTGCCTGAAGGTTCCAAAGCTTGTTTCTTTTCTTTTTGGTTGCCTTCTTGTCCGAATGAAAACATCAAAGGCTTTTCTTGTCCGAATAAAAACATCAAAGGGTAAACGAAGCTTTTAAACATCATTCTTCATTAGCAAATTTTTAGACACTTTCAAATTGATGAAAAAACTAATCAAAAACACTCAACCGTGCAATAATATTTAAAGTAATTTTTGTCGGCGTCTAAACAGACCGAGATGAATTGTGATTGGGAATTAATAACCATTAAAAATATTAAAGCAGACATAATCGTATATTCCTGCCAAATACAAAGGGAAAGTTCATTTAATATGCCGAGGGGGTATGACGTTTTTCTCTCACAAACCTTATCTTTTTACA